CCCGCAGCCTCTGCAGTGCCGGTTCGATCCCCGGCTGCTGGGCAAGGGTCCCACATGGCGCACAGACCTCACCTGCTGCCCGCTGCTCCCCTCAGCAGTGTACTTCATCATTCTGCCTGCTCTGCTCTCCGCTCTGACTCTGGTGAATTCTCTCACCCTCCCACGCTTCTGACTCTGCCCAGTGCTTGTATAAATAAATAAATCTTTAAAAAAAAAAAAAGACGAAGAGAAGTGGACATTCAGGACATTGATCTCTCCTATAATTCACTTGGACCATTTGCACAGCATTGAGCTCTGATACAAAACTTTATGCCTTCCTAGCAAAACCCACATTGGGATTTTGAGGTGAATTACTGAGCAAAGAAAGTGAAAGTGAGGGTAAGAGGAAGAGAAATTGCATTGTCCGTAACAGTCTCTACAGTGAATCTAAGACACACTGTTGATGCTGGGAAGTTGACGTTTTCAAAAATAGTAACTCTTCTGGTTAATAGGAGTCAACATGTGAAACCACAGCATGCAAATATTAAAAATCCTACTTAAACATCAGTAGAGAGTAGCATTCTTTAGCTAATTTTGACTCCATTTGCCAGGTAGCCCAGGTGAAACATCTGTCTGGACTGAATTTTCAGGTAAGCAAACACTGCAGAAAACCTCAGGAATCCAAACTGAAGTCTGAGACTTGTATTGAGCTGGGAGTGGCAGGAAACCATCTCCAAGGCAGCTACAAATGCACCAGGTTGGTCTGATACTATCACTTTCCATGGCTGAATTAATAAAACTGGCAATAGTGAAATGATTCCTCCTAGCTCTAAAAATAAAAAGGAAAAAGAAGGAACAGCACAAGATACCTAGGTGATGAATAAATGAAATAAATCAGTTACTGAGTCACAAAAAGTTCACAGGCTATACATAGCACTGATGTGAATTTCAAGGTAAGAACATCATATTTAGTGTGTGTGTGGGGGGCAGGGAACACAGAGAAATAAAGGACAACAACTAAACTTTGTTTTGGTGTCATGTCACACATTTCAAAGATTCAGAGCATATATAAAAACAGGTGTAGGGGGAGACTAGACTATCATTCTTATATTCTGAATTATTGTATTCTGTTCACCACCAAGGACCCTGCTGCATGTTAAGGATGAAGGATTAGAAATATCAACAAATTAGGTTGCAGTATTAATTGTTTGCTTAATAACCTCATTATCCTGAGACAAGCAAACCAGATGCCCATTAGCAGTGATCAGGCAGTTTTCTTAGAGCACTTCAATTATCTCTGTTGAAAAAGTGAAAAAGAAATACCAGCCTAGAATGGATGATGTCTGGCCTCATCAAGACTCAGTACCTGCTGAACTGCAGTTTCAGCCTCTCCCAAAACTAACCAGACTGGAGTTTCCTGGTCAGCATCAGTGAAGTCTTATCTGCAGAAAAAGACCCCTTAGCCACCCCCCGCCCCCCGCAAATGGAAAGTGGTTTGGCCTAAATAATCTTTCTCATCTTTTGCTAATAACCGTGTCCCATCCTATTTCTGACTACAAAAACCTTTCATTTTGCATAATTTTTACAGAATCATTTCCTAAAGGCAAATAGATCTTTAAAATTAACTCAGTTGAACTTTTGCTATTTAACATTTCTGTGCTATTTAACATTTCTTACAATTCAAAATACATTTTAAAAAGGTGACAGCCCTCTTGACAAGTTCCAACTAAGTGTTTTTCTCTGTTATTTGTATATTTAAGGGCTTTCCTTATATGCTCACAGTTTGCCTTTGATAGCTACGAAATTTTACTCAGATAAAGTGATTCCCTTCAAAAGAAAAGCTGGTTATTTTAACTCCCCATGTTGAATAAGTGTAACAATAATTGTGTAATATACTAAGGCTCAACTTGTGACTCTATGCCCACACTCAGGTGCCCCTTTAACTGGACTCCTTTAGGTGACTCTCTTGGCCGGGTTTGTGTTCACACTGGTGCCTTCCTCTTAGTTTTGAGGTAAAAGAAATAGTGAACCAACAGGATGAGTTGCCCCAAGTCCTGCGTGAACAGGTGGACTAAATCATGGACTTGAGAGCACTTCCAATTTGGCCCCAACACTGACCGTAAGATGCCATGCCAGACAAAAAGCACTATAGATTCTGACTAATGATTATCTCACAATTTCCTGGAGAGAGAATGCCAAGAGCCGACACGCGTAGTTAGAGTGTAACCCATCTGTGCAAGCCCGGTGTAGCCCAATCCAGACCACGCTATGGTGCTAGCCTCTGCCCCACTGTGAATACCTCCACTTACCTCCCTTCAGGGAGCCCGGCCATATTCTCCTGCCCAGAACTGGCTCCCTCAGGCATGAGTCTCTAATAAAGCCTTGTCTGGTTCAAGTACTCTCTGGTGGGTTCTTTCCCTAGAGCACAAAAGACCCACTCTTTTGGGTCACAGCTGAGCTTCTTCCCACCTAGCTGCCTTGTTTCCTCTCTCAATGCCTCCCAGGACTTCCTCTTCTCCTCTCACTTCTTCCTCCTCTTCTCAGGAAAATCTGGTGACTTTCTATTAAAGTTCACCACATTTTACTGCTGCTTCACCTTTCATATAGTTTATATAGTTCATATAGTTGTGTAGTTTATATAGTTTATATAGTTCCCTGAAGGGCAGGAAAACAAGAATTGTTCACTACAGAAGCACCAGTCTCAAGGAAGCAAACAGAAGATGGAGGGTGCTTTAGATCTGCATTAATCCAATAAAGTACGGTGGAGGAAGGGATGGAATGGAATGGAATGGAATGGAATGGAATGGAATGGAATGGAATGGAATGGAATGGAATGGAGTAGAATGGAGAGGGGTACAGTGCAGTGCACTGGAGCAAAAGCAGGGCCCTGCCCGTAGTTGTGTCACAACAGAGACACAGTAAGGATACACACAGGATAGGTACAGACAGTGAGGGTCAACTGTGGACTCAGAGCCTTCTACAGAAATGTCCCTTTGAAGGCCACTTGAGTCTATGTAATATCCTTCTTGTAAAGAACTTGAAGTGCTTTCCTTTATGTGTCCAGCGCACCCCTACAAGGTAGACGTAGGAACAATTGTCCCTATTTTATAGCTGGAAAAACAGAGTCTACCCCTACCCCAAAGGGTGAATTGGTCAAGGGGAAGGGCTCTACTCAGAGGTCCTGACAGCTAAACTAACGCTGTTTTCTGAAGAGATGGTACCTTCTGAAAGATGCTCATCAATCTTTTCTTTCAAGATAAACTCAATCAAGATTAAACTCTTGGAAACCTGTTTGATGCATCATGATAAATATGGTGATGACAGATTAAACAGGCCATGATAAAACAGTTACCACGCTCTGCCCAGCTCTGCGCACCCAAGGAGGGCACTGGATTTGGCTTGATCAGAGCTTTACACTGGCCTGAGTTAACAATTAAATCTGTTGCCTGGCCATTTGTTTCAATTTTAAAGATTTGACCTATGAGACAGGAAGAGTTAAATGAATGAGGTTTGAGGACATCAGGGGCGATGCAGAAGGAATCTCACGAGTTAAGCAAGGGTCACAGGGGAAGTCTGTTCTCTACAAGTCATAAAACGTAGTGCCTGAAATAGCTAACAAGTCCTCATTATCTAATTATGTCTAATTATATGTTCTTGGCCTACTGGAAGTGAAAGGCTGGGTGCAAACTCCAGACATTCCAGTAACAAGCCACTTTATAAATGTGGTTAGAAACACACTCCAGCTATCAATTCTGTGGCCTTGGGCCACTGAGGATAATTTGCAGGTGTGCTTCCCACTGTCCAAGGAACTCTGGTTGTCAGGCTTGCTGGGGAAATTCAGGGGAAGCTCGCTTGCAGAGATAAGGTAGCAACTACTCTCTCTTAATAACTGGCTGTGCAGAATCTCAATCTCTTCACTCTTCATGTGCAGGGCCTGCTGCACAGCAGGATGTCCTTTGGAGGCAGAAAACCTTCCACCCCTTTATGTTAGTAATGTGCCTGCCCAGTGAACTCTGCAGCAGTTCATGCTCAAGGCATGCCTAGGCCAGGCTTTGGGGGGCCATGAAGTTAGTACCAGCTAGCAGGCACTCTCCTGTTATTCCTCTGGGGAATAACAGGAAGGTGTCAGCCAGAGGACTGATAAGGGGGCCCAGGGTCTGGAGCTGGGCAGCAGTTTTGCCCCTGGACCCTGACATCTGTAGGTTGTCGCCAACTGTGGGCATTGGCCAGCTCTGCCCTTATTGAACTACTCCCTGAGGTGAAGTTAGAGCCAGGCTTTCCTTCCTGGAAGGAAGGCCAGCTCGAGAAGAGGAATCTGAGAACCAGCTGACAGTAAAGCACAGGGGGGCCTATGCTAGTGGCCACTGAGACGTGAACGCCCAGAACTTGAAATTAACAACGAACAGATCCAGGGGTTAAAAATCTACATTTGAAGATTTGCATTATTATCAGAAGGTTCCTGCAGCTGAAGAAGGAACAGGTTTCTAAACTACCCCCAACAACATCAAACATACCAGGCTGAGAATAATTACATGGAAAATTATATTTAAAAAGTGGGCAGAGAGGCTCGTACTAACATTTTGAATCCTATAAAATCCACATCTCCCCATCACTAAGTTATTCCCAGGGTCATGTGCAGGTTCGAATTGCATAAAATTGGGCAGTAAAATATTCCTGTTAAAAATACCCAGCTGTGGTTGCCTAATTTATTTGCTTCAATACAAAACCTGATTTTTTTTTTTTTCTTTCTAGAGAACTGTCAGGTCAAGTGGCTTCTCATTAAAAAACAATTTCACATTTTTATAAGATTTAAGATTAGCATTCTAGGAAGAAATGAAGCTTCTGTCGAAATATTTCAAATTTTGATCTCTCTCTGGCAAAAATAAATGTATTAAAAATGTCTTTTTAGGAGCAATTAGCTTGCCTTGGAAATGAAGGTAGATTTGAAAGTAATCGTTCATTAGACAGAATCTAAGTACTAAAAAGAAACGAAAGAACCGTTAAGTGGGAAAATTTCTTACCTTGAGAAGTTGAGGAAATGAACATGTCGAGTGAATAAATAGGGCTGTTCGGCAGTACTTATATTTTTAATCAGTTCCATCTATTAAAAAAAAGCACAAAATTAGCATCGCTAGGGTTTAATGTACCAAGTCATATTTAGCTAAAGGTTATCTCCCCAGCTCCTTTATTCCCCATGACAGCCTCCTGGACCAGGGTCAAATTGCTGTGTTCTCTGCAACAGGCTTCCTCCTGACTAAGACAGCGCGTCCCCGATGTGCAGTCCTGTATTTAATTTAGTTGACGTGACCATGAACACAGGGGGCAGATGAAGTCATGGTCCCTGGAGAAGGGAGAGCCTGTTATACTGAAAGGCAGGTAAGAAAATGCCTTTAGTTCCTCCATTAAAGTCCAAGCCAGGTAGAGGCTAGTCATCATTTTCTATTTCTATAATGGCATTACTGGGATACACAGACATGTTTGAAACTAGTTCTATAGAATTTCAAAGTGGAAATTAAACATCATGCCTTATGATTTTTCTCTTTCTTATAAAAATGGACGAAGCAACTATTTCTCAGCAAATATGCCCCTCCCACCTCCAAAAAACTGCTTGGCTTTTTGGTGGGTGGCCATCTGAATGATTTATTTGCAGTTATCAGCGAGGCAAAAAATCTTCTCTATTTGTATTAATGAACATTTATGGCTCTTCTGGAACATGTCATGATACAGAAACTGTTTAGTAAAATCTGTTAGAAATTCCAAACATTCTTATGACTCCCTGACTTCCTGAATTCCACATCCTTAGATTTTCTAATTGGCCCCTCAAAACAGACACACTGTGGAATCTTTCAGAAGCATGCTGAAAACTGCCACTTTGAATGGGCCTCAAAAGCACAGCTTCTCCTATTTTCAGAAACAGTTCAAGTTGAAAGCTGCCAGCAGAAATGGTCACGGCCCTGATCACCCGGGTCAGAACAATGACAATAAAATCAGAGTCAAGTTTGCCTTGAACCCACAGAAAACCTGTTCTGCTTTGCTCCTGCGTGTCCAGCACAGGCTGAACACACAGAAATGCTCAATAAGTACTGATGGGAGGCATTAACTCCAACTACCATATGCTCTCTAGATTGGTACCCTGGGATCTAGCATTTAATCTCTTTAATCAGATATTTGTGCCCACAGTGATGTCTGAAGGAATGAAACTGAACTTAAAAAGGAAATGACTCGCAGTCACAACCCTACACTTCTGTTGGTTGTGGTGAGCTCGGGAGATAATGTTCAGCTTGTCTGCAGGCTTGAGCATAAAAAAAAACAATCCAGCCTCTTCATTGACCGCTTATCCTCTATCTTCCCTGCCCCCACACTTTTTTTTTTTCATAATAAAACTTATTGCTAGGTCACATTGTACATTTTTATTTTTGGTGGATCTACTAACAGAATTGCAATTTTGAAGCACAGAGCTCTCCTGCTCTCCAAGGATGACTGCTTAGAAAATAAACCCACTGTGTGTATGATTAATAAAAAGATCATTCAGTGCTTTAATCTCTCTGACTTTTATTCCACTATCTCTGCACACATGAGAGTAATATGAGAAAGCCCCCTAGTACAAGTAGATTGGAAAAGCAGGTCAGAAGGAAAGCATTTCTTTCATATATTCAACATTATAGCACATTCGCTAAACACATGTCAGCGTGTTAAATTTAATGGAAAAACAGTAGTGGTTAGATTTTGAGAACAGTGTCATAATAATCATAAAGCTGTCTATTTCACAAGGAAAAATGGATTAGAAGTGACAAGGCCTAACTCTTTCTAGACGGATCTTTAAACATAGTATAAAGGTACTAAGGCTCATGTTTATTGCATTACTGCAGTGAAGTCAGATAGCACAGTTCAGCTCTCCTACATTTTGTCACTGCACTCCACATAGCACAGCCACTTTAGAAGTGCCACAAACACAGGTTTAAGAAATTATGTTCATGGTGTCACTGGACCATCTTCACAAATGCTAGGTGTCCTCCACTTCCAGGGACAAGCAGTGGTCTGCTGAACCTCTGTGGTCTGTCACCTGCTTTCTCTCTCCTGGTCCTCTTGCTGTCACCAGCAGCCTGTCTTTTATCATCATGGGTGACAATGACATTACTTAAAATAATCAAAGACACTACCTCTCCTTTTCCTGGCCCATGCAGGGCCATGGCTAGCCTTTATTCTGATTCGCTGCATACATTCACTCTTCATTCACGCATGCAGCATTTACTAAGCACTTACTAGGCCCTGGAAACCAACCAAACATGAATAAACTCAGTGGAAAAATGTGTCTTACTGGTGTTTCCAAGTCCACCATGGCCAAACCTACTTTTGATCATCTTTATTCCTTATCCAGCTTCCTTCTCTTTTAATAGAAAAAGAGTTCTGGTGCTGGTTAACAGTAATTTCTATGCTCTCATATTTGATCTGGGTCTTCCCTGGACTCCCCCAATCCCTTGCCAGGTCACATTAAGTCCACCTTCACTCTCTTCCTCAATTGGCTCTCAAAACCACATGTCCTATGACCAGCCAAACTAGACACCCCCTGTTTCTTCCTCACACCGTGTCCAAGTCTGACCATATCTATGCTCAGGTTCAAGCTCCTTGTGGAAAGTTCTTCTCTTGGCATGGTCAAACCCTAACCCCTCTTTACATCTAACTTAAGTGCCTAACACTGACTAAAGTTCCAAATAGCCTTCCTGGATCTCTCCTTTCACTCAATATGCATTGACTCTGCCTCGCTACTGGGCAATGAATTGCCTGGGACTGTGGCTGTGGCTACGAGAGAAAGGTCTGATTTGTGCTCTCAAGAAGATCAGTTTTATGGGCATGGTGGAACAGCAAGCAGGTACAAGCATGTGAAAACCACCTGGGGCAGAAAGCACAGAGGTGAGGCCCATCTCCCTGCCTGTAGATGGAGTGGTGAACTTTCCAGAAAGGAGAGATCCCGAGAGTTTCAAGGACCCATAGGAGTCAGCCAGCGAGAAAGTGACCTATGGCCTTGCAGACAGTATGGACAGCAGATGCAAAGGTTGAAACAAAACAGTGTGGATATTAAAACTGCCAGGAACTCCAAGTGTAGAGGTAGAACATGGGACCAGCAAGGCAGCAGGTGAGGCTAGAGAGGGAGGCAGGAGTGGGTAATTGAGGCATTCTGACAAGATCCTATGGGCAATCCACAGCCAGAAAGGATTTTTTTTTTTGCCAGATCTGAGAGCAGGGTGGAGAATGAAAAAAAAGGGTCAAGATCAGAGATGCCAAGCTTAGCTAAGATGACCCGAATTTCAGCAGGAAATAATGAGGGCATGAAGTTATTGTTCTGGGAGCACAGACAGCAACTAAAAACTTGTTAGAAGTGTACATTATCAGCACCCCCCTCTCTAGACCTGGTGCTGGTTAATGGTAACTTCTATGTTCTGCTGAAGTGGAAGAAACTCTGGGAGGGGGTCCATCAATCAGTCTGTGGTGTTGTTTTTTCTTCAAAACATCCAGCAAGCTTATCTACTTGTGGGATCATGAATGTTCATACGTTTCTTCCTTATATGGGTTTTTGTTGAAAGTGCTATAGGGTTCTATGCATATACACATGTATTATGCCTGCATACATTTGTGCATACATAGACACATATAGATGTACACATATCTATTCATTAATTCTGTGTTTTAACAAACCCTCCAGGAGATTCTGAGGCTAGGGAATGACTGAACACAGCCAACGGCAGTATGGCCAAGGAGAGTCCGGGTATGATAAGGGAGGAGTCTGCTGACCCTGGCAGCAGAAGGGAAGAAGAGGGAGTGGCCAAGGCAGCTCCCTAGTTTGCATCTCAGCCACGATGGTGCCCTTTCACAGAGGTTGGGGAGGGGCTGCAGGAGGAGCACATCTGGCTACAGAAGTGGGGGGCACGGGTATGTATTTGCACATCTTTGGTAAGAGATAATGTTGCTTCTTTCACCTCCTAAACACTCTGAGACTTTTCCAGGATGCCCACTTATAAAATCATGTTGTAGTTGAGTTTGTGTGTTAGTTTTGAGCCAGACTGTAAACTCCTAGAGGGCAGGAGCCAGACTTTATTTATTTAAGTCCAGAAGATCAAGCCCAAGCACCTGTGTTGAATAGACAACCCCTTTAGAAAACTTCTTGGAGCCAAGTGATAACTAAGTCAGAGTTATCACTCAGCAATGACTTTGCCTCTCTGGGACAGACAAATACATCCACTATCCTGGTGTCCCGGGAACTGACAGTCTCTCCATTACAACATCTAGGACCCAATGACACCAAGCAAACTCCCATTTCCAGTGTGTCCCAGGCTCCATGTTGCACCTAGAGCTTTTTATGTACATGCTGTCATTTCAGCTCAGACGACTCGGTGAGTTATTTCCTTGACAGGAGAGAAATGGGGGCTTTGCAGCTTGCTTATAGTCTCACCGTGAGGAGGAGGAGGAGGAAGAGCCAGGATCGAACTCCAATCTGTCTGACACCAAGAATCCTGTTCTTAGTCACTTAGTTGTCATCCCACACCATCCCATGCCCTATAATGGCATCTGCCACCACCCTATGCCCCACCACCCCGTTCCCCACCACCCCATCCCCCACCATCCCACCCCCACCATCTCACCCCCTACCATTCCATCCCCTACCATACCATGCCCCAACACTCCACCCCCTACCACCCACCCCCACCATCCCAGCCCCACCACCCCACCCCTCACCATCCCAGCCCCCGCCATGCCGTCCCCCACCATGTCACCCCCACCACACCACTGCCATTGGATCTGTATATTACCTCTTCCGTGGGAGGAAGGGGCTACAAAATCATTCTGGAGAATAAAGAAGGTTTATAGGGATATGCCTTTTCTACTTTTCATGTGATGTGCCTAAGAATTGACAGAAAGTTGTAACAGTTGGGAAAGCATTAAAATAATGAAAAATGAAAGCATTAAAGCATCAGAGAGAATACTGTTTGAATTCTAGGTGAAAACACAGTATATTATAATAAGAATGGGAATGAATACACTGTGTTAAAAGAAGATAACTGTGTAATAGATGATATCTAAAAGAAGAGGTTAAGTCATGGTGCA